TTTAATTTGTGGATTGACTGTTTTCTCTTCTCGACCGTTTGCATATTGTTTTTCCGATTCTCTCTCCCTTCGGTTTTGACTCTCCTTCTCTCTCCCTCTCTCTGACAATTTCTTTCTCTCTTTTTTTGTTCTTGCACACACTCTGTTATTGTTATGTTTTCATGCCGTCTTTGCCGTGTGCATTCAAATTCCTTTACACAATTTAATGCGTACGCTACAATGTATATTACATTTGATTACAAAATTCAATGACTTTGTTACTCTCTTGCTTGCGTTTGCTCTGTCAAATTGTTGGTTCTCTTCGTTTCTCCACTTCTTTCATGCATTTGATTCTCTCCTCATCGGTTTATCGACTAATGATTGACTATAACATTGTAAGTGAATGGCAACAAACATGTGCACTTTCGTTCTTGGTCGCTCTAGTCAAATGCATGCATGTACATTTTACAACATTCAATTCAAGCATTTACTCATTTTCATTCACAAAAATTAATGCAATTAAAACCAATAAAAATTTCATCGCCTAAAGCCACTTCAAATGTTTTTTTTTTATAGCTGCAGAGTGTATGTTTGTGTGACATTTTTCGCACGCATCTCTCTGTCTCTCTATCTCATAATGAAGTGGAAAAAAGTGTGTTGCAGAATGAATATTAGCGAATCCAATTGAATTTTTGAATGATAATGAAATTGAATCGAATTTAAAGCAAAAAAAGACGAACATATATTTTTATTACATTCGCATGCATATAATCGGGAATATTTTTTATACGTATTCATGCAAATCAAAAACTTTATTTCATGTTTGTTTCAGAATTTATTTGGAAAAAACATTTCATATCTATAATTGTTTTTATTTCGACAGTTTAATACGAGACAACGTCGGAAGTTTCGTGTTAGAATTTTTGTTGCTCAATATACACTGCCTCGCATGTGAACAACCACTGTCAAACTGACATCGGTATCATTAAGAGAAAAAAAGAGACACACATTTTCAGCATTGAATTTATTGGAGTAAAGTACAAGTAAGTAATATGAAAAGAAAACGCATACAGACGGATTGCGTCGATGCATGCAACGCACGCGACACAATCTAAATTGATAGTTCCTTTTAGCCTCAGACAAAAATCAAGATAGAGTAAAAGAGAAAGAGAAGAAACCGAAAGAAAACGGAATGAAACGGCAAGAAAAGAAGAAGAAAACGTTTTTAACGTTTGCAAAATTCATGTCAGCATATTCATTTTTGTATATGTATTGGATTTTGGTAGTGCTTTCAGTCGTGTCTGAAGTGTTGTCGTACGTATTTATATGTAACACGCGCATGGAGCGAATTTCAATCCCGATCCACTTTAAAATCAGCTAAAAATCCAAGACACACAATACACACACTCTTATACACATATTCGCACACAAACATTCACTCAATCACTCACAATTGTATGACTCAAGCACATGCGGATCTCGCCGAACAAGGGCACACCGAACAAGAAAAAAAATTCATAAGAAATTTTCAAACTCATCGACAATCCTGTTTATACAAAATGTAAATAAAAATTAATTTGTGTGTATGTATGAATGAAATGTTAAAAGTGCCACAGTACCACAAGACATTTCCGTTTGTGCCGAAAAAAAATTACACATTTCGCACACGCAAAACAAATTACAAAATAATTTTCACACCGTTCGACTTTTCCAACAATTTTTTTTTGCTCTCGGTCGAAATATGAGTCGAAACACAAGAAAGAAAAATAAACACAGTGTGACCAACGTTTCCATTCCATAATATTCATTTTTATCTCGAAAATGAAAAGATCAAAAAAGCATCACAAAATATTGTGCCAATAAAGAGGATAAAGTAAAAATCGAAGCGAACTGATTAAACGTCACTGCATAAAGGTTGGCACAGTAGTGGGGCTGTCATCGGTGTCTTTCTAGTCACAATCAGACTTAATAATTTTGACAGCGCGATTTATAAAGTTCTTTTTTTGTCATCGCGTGTTTGTGTATATAATTTTGTTGTTGTTGTTGTTGTTAGCGATGACCAATAGAAATGTCAACGCGAGAAGACTGGCTAATTGTGAGCGTGTTAGTTAATTTACCTAACAATTCAGTGTTTTTGTTCATTATGCACAATTTATAAATATGTACTTGTTAAACTGGGTGTCGGTATACGTGCGGGTATGTGTCTGTATGACGATAGGAATCAACCAAATAAAGAACAATCAAATGAAATAATCAACAGCAACAACAACAGCGGCAGCGTAACAGCGACCGCACCATAGCAGCGCACGATATACACACAAAGAACGAGAAATATAAAGAACTAATAAATAACAATAATCACTACACACGCACACAATAAACAAAAAAAACAACAACAACAACAAGTAAATGAGACCTGTGATAACAAATTACATATGCCAATTTTGTGCAAAGAACGCACGACAACAAGACGTCGACGACAACGACAACAACTACGACGATGGACGATTTGTTGATTGAACCGATATGATGTGTGTGAGTGATGTGAGAATGCGCGCGCGAAAATTCAAAATCAATTTTTATTTCAATCATCCAACATTGTATACTGCTATCAAGTGAAATCACACGAAATGAATAAAAAAAATGTTTTCAATTTAAAAATGAAAAAAAGAACAACAAATTATTCACATACCTTTTATTTTAGAAAAATTTCAATGATTTCGGCTTAATTGGTAGCGCTTTTTTCAAACTTTATTTTCACTGTAAATTTTGAAATGTGTGTTATTTGGTACAGTTTATTTAAAACACATGAATCTCTGTGCACTGGCTTAATATATCATCAGTATGAAACCTTTGTGTTATAACAACACCTATATACTTTGTCTCTTCTATCTTATTTTCGGGGGGTTTGACACCATCAACCCCACACAAGTCACGATTGTTCAAGTTCTTTAAAAATTTCTCTGCTTTCAACTGAACATTTCCTCTCAATCAATATTCAGTGTTGGTTTTGTTTCTTTTTCTTTTACTGTCAATTCACATTTTTCATTGTTTATATCTCACTCGAACTTTCCACACTTTGTTTCAAACTCAACTCTTCAGTCAACTGTCAATGCTTCACTGTCTTGTTTTAGATGATCGAACATTATACAAAAGTCAATTTTATTTCTTGATTTGTTTCTGCTGTCCAAAAATATATCTTAGTTCAATTTTCACATTATTTCAATCGAATTTAACTTGTACAGTTCAAACACATGCTCCATGTATTTTGCCTCCAAAAAATCTCTCGTACTACTCGATCACTTTCGTAAGTCGATCAAAATGTGTAATTCATTTGTTTTGAAATTTTCTCAATGAAATCTTCTTCGTCGGTATGCTTTTGTTTCGTAGTTACAAACGTTTTGAATTGCCAATTATTTTCTGTTGCTTTTTGTTGATAAAAGAAAACGAATGCATTGGAATATGCTACGTTATTCTCAAATGATTTTGTTTGTTCGGTTCGCTAACGCACGCAAAAACAGAACCTATATCATGCAGTGCACAGGTCTTACTGATTCTTCCATTCGATGTGAGCATTGCTTTCAGTGCCACAGTAAGAGCCGAAAAACGAAACAACGGCAGCATACGGCTACAACACCCATTTCGAACGGCAACAACAACGGCAGCAACGACAAACGATATGATAGAGTAACAACGAGCGGGGCTATACAACGGGAAAACAACATACACTATGTATGCTCATTTTTCGTTCGTTCGATGTGTGCGTGCGGGTATAAACGCGTTTGAATGCTAATGGCACTCATTTATGAAATAAAAATACACTACAACATCTGCACGTACGGCAAAATCGTTTTATCGGTCCGTGTGCATGCATATGCACACACCACCGTAGTCCGACCATATGAACACGCACACATCAACAATGCACACGGTCGCTCATACAATTTTTTTTGTTCTCATTTTCTCTATCTTTATCGGTTCGCCTGTACTGCTGTTGCTGCTGTTCGCATACACATATGGTGTTGTTGTTGCCGCTGCTGTTGTACTGCTTTTTTTTGTTGCCGAGTTCGAAAATGCATATCAATTGGAATAACCGAGGTATTTGTTGTGTGTTTGTGCAGATGTTAGTGTACACACGCTGTTGAATCATTAGGCATGTGTGTATGCGTATTTGTCTTTCAGTGTATTTGTGCTGCCGTATAACAAATGTCTATTTCGACAATGTCATTGCATACTCTCGTTCAGTGTCTATTTGGAATAACGATCAAAACTACCTTTTTCAACATTACATTTTTATTGATCTTTAAATACTTTCCTATCCATTTTTCTGCATCTGAATTTCGAAAAAAAGTAGAAATATTCCTAAACATTTTTACCCAATAAAAAAAGGCTATGCGTTTCAAAATTGTATACATTTAAAATCATGACTGCCAAGTGATGTGTTGGCACTGAGACAAACACAAAAAAAAAACATTTCATTCTGTCATTTTCTCTTTGAGCGAAATGCGTGTATCCGTATATACCATTATCTGATATACATAACGAATCCGTCTCTATGTATCCAAATCACATATGCGGTGTATATAAGTGCGCTCAGTCCGACATCACCATCATCATCATAAACACATCGGGGCCGAATACGAAATACCGAACAAAGGCAAATGATAGAGAGGAAAAAAAGAAACGGCAACAACAACAAACATTTCAAACAACAAGCGAACAACGAAAGAAAGAAGAGAAGAAGAAAAAAAAGCATGCACACATTCTGTACATAGAAAAACTGTATTCATGCACGACATATCCCGAACGAGTCGAGTGAATGTGAAACGGCAGCAACGGCAGCCACAGTGAACGGGCAAAATTCGAATATATACACACGCAGATATATGTATAACGAGCAGCGTTCATATGAATGCAAACACTCTGTGTACGGCGCGCATCTGTGTGGAAACACACGTGCAGATGTATTCGTTTTGGTATTCGAATGGTGCTGTGTGTTGTTGCCTTTTTATTTCTCTCTTCTTTTTTGTCGTTCATTCGTTTTTCGTTTCGTTCGATGTTGCTGTTGTTGCCTTCTTCTTCTTTGTTTCGTTTGTTCGTTCGTTGGTTTTTCTTGTTTTTTGGGACACAGCACATCGAAGCGAATAGCTGCCGCATTTGTTTGCGTGGTACGTTCATATGTCGACATATACTTGTTTCATAAATTTTTGTTATAGCAAGCGCACACAGTACACTGTAAATCGTATACTTGATTATAGACGAACATTAAGGTCTGTACGGTATTATATTTTGTATGAGGTTTTCTTTTTCGTGTATTACTTCTTCTTCTTCATTTTATTTTCTGCTCTTTGTTGATGTTATTCGTGTTGCTTTTTGTTTGTTCGGTCGGATTTCTATACGTGTATTTTTTCTGTTTCTTTTCTTTCGAAAGATACCGAAGAGATACGTTAGTTGGCGTTGAATTTTAATCGGTGTTTCTCTCTCACACTGTCTATATATATAAGCTTTTCCTCTGTTCAATCTTTGTCTTTTGCCTTATTTTTTTCGAAATAAATGAATTGCTACAGTTCGACTCGACCATAAATTCGAAATTCATGGAGTCGAAAAATCCCCGAATGCCTGATTCAGATCGTATGCCTCCTCATTGCATGACTTAAATTTGGAACGATATCGACGGATATTCCATTTTTGTATTTTTGAGGTCGAACCGATGTATGACGTCATTCCCTAAGCGATACCCTCAATAATTCTACCCATTCACATTCAAATAACAAAATTTCTGCGATAATTTGTTGATATTTCGACTTAAGCAAGTTGACTGTATTCATTTCGTTGTTTCCAAGTCAAGGGTGTTCGGTGTGACAACAGCGAACAACAGTGGTGATGAATCGATTGAGCAATGGTCTACTGTACGATACATTAGTGAACGAACAAATGTGAAGAGAGAAAAAAAACCCTAGAGCTGGAGTTTTACGTAGGTATTATAATATTCAATATGATACTTGTCTCTGTGCTCCGCTCCGCTCCATAGCTTGCATTATATTGGAAAATGTTTGGCAATGTCAATAATGGTACGATTCATAGTCATATATTGTGTGTATATATAGAAAGAGAGACACGGGTCTTTATATTATCCATAGATATGCATTTATATGTGAATCGCTATAGCTAAAGCGAATGCGATGAGAGAGAGATGTACATGTTTCGAGATATAAAAGCGAAGCTCGAATTGTGTTGTGTGTATTTCACATTCAGTGTGTGTTTGTTGGTTGTCGAATAATGCCAGAGAGATGCTAGATGAATGTGAGCTCCACAGAAAAAAATGTTTTTTTTTTTCCTCTCGATGTTTCGGATCTCACTCATTCGTTTGTTGGATCGATGCGATGTTGATTACGTAAAATATTTGTGTGACCAACTTTCTGCCAAAAAATACTCTCGATATTATAAATGGAGATTTCTATTCATTGCTGGAGCAATGGCCTGAAATGAAATGTTGAAACATCATCATCATCAGCCGACCGACCAAGCGAATCAAAGCGCAGAAAAAAAGAGAAAAAAAACTATTTGGCCAAAACAAAGTAATCAATTGATGATGATTCTATGAAACGATCTATAACCGATGGAGAGAAGGACGACCGAGTTGACATGATCAGTTCGAATTGGAAAGAATCGAACGTCTGACTAAACGGCACATCAACAATGTCCAATACAACAATCTAATAGTATTCATTTAAGATCCAACGTGCAGCTCTTTTTGTGAGCTGTAATCTATTTACAACTGCTTTTCGCTTCAATCCAAAACGAACAGAATCTTACAGAACAGAATTTTTCTTCTTATGCTAAACTGATGATTGTGCACACAGAGAGGCAGCGTATTTTCATTTAAAATAGAGCTACAAGGCAAAGCGCAAACACAAAAATCCAAATTGAACGAAACATTGCTGCTGCTATTGTTGTTGCATGCATTCACAATCTACATACATACATATATACATAAAACGTACATATATTTCGCGGTCCGCACGTACATAGAGCGGATTTTTGTATATGTGCCGTATACTTGAGCCGTACATACGGATAGCGCTTTATATTTCATTATATGCTTACCGATTGCGTTTTCTATATGGTGAATGGTGAATATTTCATACTGTTTTAGTTGCTTGTTCAAACGGCGACGGCAACAGCAACACAAAACGCTTGTCTCTCTTTCAGACATTTGCCAGTAAAACAACCAATACATGGGCACACTGCCGATCAGTTTGTTTAATTATTTTAAAATTGGATCACAAAATTTGTGAAATCTAAGAAAACTTTCATAAATTTCTACAAATTCGGATGAATCTTGATGTTGTTTGGTCCAAAAATGAAAATTTGTAAGAAAAAATCTAAAAAATGGTCAAAATTTCAATTTTTCAAACAAAACCCCAAATGTATTCGACTTAGGTGGTGTTACTGTTCTCTGTGTTTTGCTTTATCATTTGGAGTTGTTTTTTTTCCTTTTTTCCATCGTTCGCTGTGCTGCTTTTTTGCCTTCATAACATAAAACACAATTTTTTTTCTCTCATTTATTTTCGTAAAAGGTCGTTAGTTGGATCGTTTCGTGTTTGTTTGTTTGCCTGTTGTTGTTGTATTCCATTCGCTTCGTTTTCTCGCTCTCTTTTCTGTTTTATTCGTCTTTCCGCTGCTGTTGCCGTCGCCGTCTCCTTGCGTCGTTCTTCTCTCTCTACATTCATCTTTTTCTTTTGGAATTTTTGTGTGTTTCATTTTATTTTGAACTTTATTTTTTGCTGCCTTTACGTTGCCTTTTGTGCTGTTCATTCGATGTGTACACATTCTCTGTGTGTGTCGGCTGTCGGTCGGACTCAATGCTTCTCATGTGTACTTCAGTGTAGCATTCAAAACCCTGACGCTACTGCTGTTGCCGTCGTCGTCGTCGTCATCGTTGTTGTTGCCACATATTTTCTCTCTCTTTTTCTCTTTCTGCATTGCCGCATGTGTTGGGTAATTCTTTTTTCATTCGCTCGTTTCAGTTTTCATTTATACGACAATGACGGCATATAGTTGCTGCATGTTTGGTCGACAGTACACACAGTGTGCGCACATTCACATCGAAGTGTATGCGATATCGTTCGGCGATGTGTAAATGGGAAAGAGTCATAAACTTAAATATTAAATGTTATGCTTGGCATAGGGTGATTTGGAACATTTTCAATGAAAATATTCCATGAGACGCAGAAATACGAAAACAAAGAATCTTATAAAAGCGAAAAATTGATTTGAACAGATAAAAAATCCTGGATTAGAAAAGAAGAACGAAGAAATTCTTGAAATTTGCAAATAATTCGTGAAGATTTCCGTCACCCATGTTGAATCCATTATAGACTTGGAAAGATTCCATTTTTTCTATTGGTATCTCTACTTTCTAGGTTCATACAGCAGTTTATCATATTGAATAAGATCGATGTGCACCCTGTTCAAAATATTTTTCTATCATTTGTTTCATCGTCGTCGTCGCTGTTGTCGCTGTCGACTTTTTCTTATTCGCCTTAGCATTTCATTA